TTTTGAACCACTTCGAATCACTTTAAACGAGTCACCAGGTGAAACACCTTATTTTAAGTATGGTGGTCTAAAGCATCGCAGAGTAAAAGAAAGGGGGTAATGCATTATGCAAATAATGAAAACCCACAACAATGCCATATTAGAATGTTCAAGGACACATCACTCTGCCCACCCGAGGGAAAACAAAAAAATACCTGCAACCCCGGCGGAAATAACGATGGTTCACAATTCTATTCAACTCCTGGAATCGTTGGAAACGTTACAAACCATAGTCTACATGCTACAGCTACGACCAGTCTTTATGAGCATGGTGTTGATGAGCAACCCATAATGGAAGGTAAATAAACTTGAACATTATTAATATATTGCTATCACTGTAAACTAACTTAACTAAAGAAAGTAGCAAAGCACGTTTTTATTGGTTGATTTTTCAAAGAATTTTAAATGAATGCATGATCACATGAAAAACTTAATTAAATTAAAATTATCTGGACAATGTTGTTTTTTTTAATCTACAGGTGTTCGCAATTATAAACGCACAACACAGAACCAGGAGAAGAAAGTAAGCGATATTTTGAACGGTACTGCAGCTGCTACAACCTCCAAGCAAGTAAACGTCGACCTTGATGAATTTTCCGACACGTCATCTGCTGCGGATGTTGGAATCCATAAACTAAACACCCAAGACGCTGGGGCTAGCATTGTTTACAACAAGTGCGTGTTTACTATTACCAAAAATATCTGATCAATTATAGCAGTATAATGTGTCAACATAATATTTGATTGAAAACAATAAATGTGCAACAAACGTTTAATCTGTTTGTGTAATTTATTTGGAGGCAGGTTGTAATATCACCTCTCGGCTTCGCCACGGGATGATATCACAACCGTACCAACAGAGTATCATTTCGAGAGTATGGCAGGTCTATATGTGACTATCATCAACACACATGACTGCTCCATTTCCAGGGCAACATCATTCATGTAGACTAACTAATAACTAATATTATCAGTAACGCAAACACCGGAATTGTAGACTAAAATCATAATTTTTTTAATCCCCTTGCCCCGAGAAGGGAGACTAACCACCAGTGTATGGCAGGTCTATATTATCGCCCATTCCCTTCAAATATCGCCCAAGTTGGAGGTTGTTATTAAAAAAAAAACCTTAAAGTCTAATGTTATTTTGCGTATGAGATGTGTATGAATAGATGAAATATGTTTTATACACTTGATATGGCTAGAAGCATACTCACTACTAACTTTATTAATATGATTTGTTCATGATAGACTTTGACACTGAATAGTTTTCCTGACTTTATATGCTCCAATTTGAATTCATTTACTGAAATATAAAATTCATTCACAGGTTTATTTACAACATTTTGTTTAGAAGTTATAGCTAACAATGTTTTATATTTTTATTATTTACGACCATTATATAGTTTAACATCACATTTATACATTAGCCCAGTTTCTGCTGCAGAAGTTCCAGGGTGTTTTTTCTTCTCAGAAGAAGTGAAATAACTATCATCAATACACATGACTGCTCCATTTCCAGGGCAACATCATTCATGTAGACTAACTAATAACTAATATTATCAGTAATCCAAACACGGGAATTGTAAACTAAAATCATAAATTGTTTAATCCCCTTGCCCTGAGAAGGGAGACTAACCACCAGTGTCAGACTTGCTGTTGGTAATAGCCCTACGTTGATCTCATCTCTGCTCTATCCTACCTCATTTAAGAATCTGGTTTGTTATCTTTTGATCCGAATTATAATTGTAAATATAATAATAAGTGTTAGACCTCGTGTTAATGCAGATTAATGTTGGTAGTAAACTAGAACATCCTGTTGATGTCCCCATTTTCATTGAGCAATCTGTCTGATCGGAAGTCGGCACTGTTGCTATGACATAGCCTCTATGCATAGTGCATTGTACTTGTACATTAGTACGTGCTGTCCGTAATAAATGGCATGCTGCTGTTTCAACTCGGTGCAGAGCGATTGATAATGCATTGGTTCGGCCATAAAACATAACACTTCCAAGGATAATTTTATTTAATGGTGCATACAAAGTACCAATAAGGCTACAACATGGCTTCCAGAAACAAAACGACCATTTCCGTATGCAGGTTAATGGCATAAGTAATGATGGTACTTGGACTTCGCCAAAGAACTCCAATTGTGATGGCGCTTATCTCCAGTGGAGATGCATGCGATATAAAATAGGAGCAGATAAGGGCTCAGACAATAATCTGGTACAAATACAAATCGTTTTGATATTATTGAAGAACACTTAAATGTTGATCAATTTGCCTCCACTCCTGCAGATGCATAGATGGAGAATTCGAATTGTACTGTCACATTTCCATAAAAAATGCACTGACGGTTGAGCCAAAAGAGGCGTGTCGAATTTTGAACCTTACAAAATAATTTACAGTGAGTGATTAGGATGAATCTTTACAAGCACTTTTACAGTCTTCCCTCTGGCTAACTGAACAGTTTGCTGAATACTAGCATTTGAGTCAAGTACAAGGTCATAAGTTCATTGTAAAAATAAATGGTGTAAGTGTCAGGAATCAAAGATTGTGCTGGAATTCATTTAAGCAGCTGTATCATGGAAGTAACATTATCTGCCTGAAATGCAAATCTGTATCTAGGATACTAATCGATAATGGGACAATAAAGAGTGTGCGTACTATGGTACAGTGACCAGTGTTTATATGAAATGTTGAGGGATGCTATGTGACTGATTCCACGTTATGTAGATCCAAGCCCGGGAAAAGTGTGCGTTTGTGCTAAGCAAATTATCTATGCCTGCGTGTTTGTGTGTGACTGTAAAGGAAACGAGAGATCTTTTTTTTATTAAATATTACATTGGAAAAAATCATGAATCGCAATGATGAATCGTTGAAAAACTGAAAATAGCCGTCAAGGTGACATTGTATACCAACACAAACACCACCAGATATACCAGTTCGAGTGGAAATTTTTTGTAATAATTCATATTATTATTCATCTGTCACCGTAACGCCATAAGTTGCAGTGTGCCGTAATGTTGCGGTATTTTACGGGGTATTTTCATCCTACCATATTAGGAAATGCGAATATGGAATGATTACGCGCGTAAGCGTCTTCTAATAATAAAAACAAACATGGCTGCCACTAGAGTTTGACCGGACTCTATACAAAGAAGTTCGCTGATTCTGCTATCAACATTTTGGATTTCGGCATTCCCATGG